AGGAGGAGGAAGAAAGAAGGGGGTAAATCTTGCCTCAAAAGAAGCTATTTGGCATTGCTTTGTGTCTGGTGATTTTCCTGATTCTGTTAGCAATCAAACACACTACAAATTGAAACAGTGTGAGTGGAGAGTTCTAACTTAGTGCTTCACAAACTTCAGTATGCCAAAACACCCTTGAAAGTTTGTTAAATACAATTCCTTGGCCCAGCAACTAGAGATTCTGATTCAGGTCTGGGCTGGGGCCCACAATTTTGAATTTCTAAGAAGCTTCCAGTGTAATGCTGGTCTACTGACCATGAGAAGCCCTTTTCTAACTCATGGTTTGACATAATCTTATTTCTCTACCTTGAAAGGTGTAAGAGTCCCATCAAAAGCTTTGTTCAAAAACCAGAAATCTGCATTAGCAATGCAGAGTAGTGAAACCAAATACTATTACCAATTATAACGGAAAAATCCAAAAGATTTAAGAAATGAGATTTTAAAGTTAATGGGTAGTGAATATACAATTGTATGGCAACTAGCTCAAAATAGGAGTAATAAAAGAAACAGGGGACACTGACAGTACAGATCTTCCAACAGGGGAGAATAGGGCTTAGTAACTCCCAGCACAATTTTTTAAAAGTCTATTTGAGAAAGCGAGAAAGAACAAGCCAGGGAAGGGTAGAGAGAGGGGGGACAGAGGATCTGAAGGTGGCTCTGTGCTGACAGCTGAGAGCCCGAAGCAGGGTTCGAACTCACGAACCATGAGATCATGATCTGACCTGAAGTCTGACGCTTAACTGACTGAGCCACCCAGGCACCCCCCCCCCCATTCCAGCACCATTTTTTAAATGTCAGTATCAACCAACTAGCTACTTTGTCCAGTTTTTGTTGTTGTTTGGTGGGGGATGGGGTAAGGAGGAGATAAAAACTAGAGAACACACAGAAAAACCTTCTGGGTAGATAGGCTGAGAAAAAAGAAGGTGGCATATTCCTTATTGTGACATTGTAAATCAAAGCTGGTTTAATTCAGTTACGTACCCACAAAACAGTTTGAAACTTTATCAGACCACTCAAAGAGGAAACAATTCAGCATAAACAGTGGATTTACAGTGGGGTTGAGGGTGAGTTCAATTATATTCAACAGTTATGAAATGGCTTCATTCACAACGTTTCTCAAATTTTAATATGAACCACCTGGGAATCTTGTTAAAATGGATTCGATCAGGTTTTGGGTGGGCCCTGAGATTTGGCTTTTTTTTTTTTTTTTTAACCCTAAGATTTTAAGTAATCTCTACACTCAACACGGGACTCAAATTCACAAACCCGAGATCAAGAGTCGTATGCTCTACTGACTGAGCCAGCCAGGCACCCCTGAGATTTCTAGTATCCTCCTAGGATCCAAGACAAGCAAATACTCTAGTCCTTGAGTCACTCACGTGCTAAGTGCAAAGGATCAAGGCAGTGGTTTGCAATTAGAATTACCTGAGGGGAACTTTAGAAAAAAACTGATGCTCAGCCACACCCCACATTAATTAGAGTTTCTGGGGACAGGATCCACACAGCATCTGATCTAGATGTCTTACATCCAAAGATGAACTTCTGAACTAGTTTCATGTTCTAGTAGATGGGCTTTGGAGTAGGTCAAACCTAAGATGCCTGGTATTTATTGGCAGAATTAACCCCGAACAAGCTATTAATCTCTCCAGGTCTCCTTTCCTGGATAATATCTACAATGGAGTTATTATGAAGTCTGAGTGTGTGTGCGTGTGTATCTAGAACAGTGCCTGTAACTTACTAAAGGTTCAAAACTGGAGCCATTAAGATCCATATGTTTTATAAACATGGACTAAACTCATGACTGGCTCTAACTCAATTCTTTGATCATTCACTAGTGGACTTTCATTATTAATAAACATTTGACCCTTGAACAACGCAGGGTTAGAGGTGCCAATACGCACCCCCCCAGGCGCAATCAAAAATCTGAGTAGAACTTTTGACTCTCCAAAAGGTTAATTGCCAATAGTCTGCTGTTGACCAGAAGCCTTAACGATAGCATAAACGGTTGGTAAACATACATTTTATATATGTAGTATAGACTGTATTCTTACAATAAAGCTAGAAAAAATGTTAAGAAAATCATAAGGAAAATACATTTACAGCAGTGTACTTATCTATCAAAATATCTGTGTATAAGTGGACTCTCGTAGTTCAAACTTGTTATTGTTCAAAGGTCAACTATTTAATTTATGGGACGTCCCTTTCTATGGACAGGGACATAAAGATTCCCAACAGGGATTGGACAAAACTCTTCCCTTGTTTAAAGAAAAATTGCATCTCAAGATTATTGTTCAACTTTTTTCATCTAATTTTTCTGACAACTTTTTGAAAAATCTAATGGATTCTTCTGCATTTGACTGCTCAGTTATCCTATCTAAGGCAGAAACCAATAAGATGGTGAAGTCCTATGTTCACGCCTCCCTTAAATCACTAATACAGACTTCTTGATCTGGGTAGCATATCCAGAGAAGGTAATTTTCCTGTACTGGTTTCAGAAATCGATGCATACGGGGGTGACTAGGTGGCTCAGTTGGTTGAGGGACCGACTTTGGCTCAGGTCATGATCTTCCGGTCTGTGAGTTCGAGCCCCGCGTCCAGCTCTGTGCTGACAGCTCAGAGCCTGAAGCCTGCTTCGGATTCTGTCTCTGTCTCTGCCCCTCCCCTGCTCATGCTCTGTCTCTCTCTCTCTCAATAATAAACATTAAAAAAAATTTTTTTTTAAAAAGAAAGAAATCGATGTATACGTTTCCTTTTATCAGTGAATGAAGACTGGCTGGAAGGGGAGTGCAAAGGGAAGATTGGCATTTTCCCCAAAGCTTTTGTTGAAGAACACGCAACTACGGACATGGAAAGCTCTCCTAGAGGAGTCTAGGATGTTCTATAACCTACAAAGTTGCAGAAAAGGAACTACAGTTTGCAAAGTTTAGCATGCCTCTGTAGAACACTGAACTGAGACATTACTGTTTGGAAGTGTTAACTAATCTACTTTTCCCACTGAAAATTTAACCTATTAGACAATGATGTGAGAACTTATCGTGATGATAACCCAGGGGTGGGGGGTGGGCTGGGGTAGAGTGGGTAGAAATGTCTGGAAGGGTATGAGGTGTGTGTGGGGGGGGGGGGGGTGGTCTTCTAGGGTGTTCGTAATGTTTCTTGCTTGGAGTGCTGACTACCCAGCTGTGTTCACTTTGTAAAAGTTCACTGAATTGTACACTTGCTGTTGGTGCACTTCTGTATGTGATACCTCAATAAAAAACTTGCAAACACAAGACTCAGAGTGCAGGCCCAGGGCCTACGTACAACTACCCCTATTCCTATAGCACTGTAGTCACAGACTCCTAGAGCCCGAGGTAAGTTTACAGGTAATTTAGATGGTACACATTTTTTTTTTTTTTTTACACATTTTCTTTATTACAAGTCTCACTGCTTCCCAAGGAATACAATTTTCAATTCCACAGAGAATTACAATACTAGAGTTATATCCCTTCATGCCTTCTCAGAGAGGGACACTCATTAAGAGTTCACTACTGAATATGTGCCACTAACATTTAAGCGATATAAAGAAGCCAGATTCAGGAAGCCAGCTGGTTAGGACTATCCTGTTAGTTAACATTTTGTATGTACTGTACTAATTTATATGATAAAATTCTATGTATGGTTTTATTTTGGTTATCATTTAACCAAAAGGCTTGATTTTTCAGGGTTAAGTTAGATGAATGATTCCACAAATACATAGAACTCCTCTCTCTCCAGGAGACCTGGAGTTTTCCACAAGAATTCTCCTTCTTTGTACAGCATGTGTGGCTTTGTAAACAGTGTTACTGTGGCTTTATTAACAGTAAAAATAGGGATAAAAATGGAGGGTTGTTAACTTCTTTGCATAAGCCAATCTTTATCAGAGAAAAGAACTGTGACCATCAGTTTCTTTCTACCCGCCCCTTTCCATAATAATGCACTTTGGTTTGGAATGCTACTAAAAGCAAAAATAACCCTGAAACATATTCAATCTTTGGCCATCTCCGCTCTGCCCTAGGTGACTTGTGCGTAGTTTAAATACTTATTTTTTAAGTAGGATATTTTTACGTTAGAAAAGAAACCATGTACACACAGATCTGGTTGGAGAGAACATGGTTTAATTAAAGGCAAAGCTGATTTCAGCAGCTGCAGGTCTTGCACAGACAGACCAAAACAAAAAACAAAAAAACAAAACAAAAAAACAAAAACAGAAGAGAAGGTTTACTACACAAAACCAGTTTCTGATGAAGATTCTCCTCTCCCTCCTCATTACTCCACGTTGAGGATGATTAGGCGAGAAACCCCGCCCCAAGAATCATAGGCGAGAAACCCCGCCCCAAGAATCAGAAAACATTCCAAACACCAAATTCTCATGCAGAAACGGGGCTGCAGATGGGACCTGGGCAGGACTGGGAGTGAGAGAGTGAACCTGGCTAGCTCGTCTGGGGTGTGAGACTCAGGGACAGCTCGAACATTGGAATGTTACAGCTGCCTGAATGCAGAGCTCAAACACACAGAGTGGGTCAAGGTAGTGGGCAAGGAGGGACTGGGAGAGAGGTGGACCCAGGGAAGGAGCTGGGGAGAAGCACAAAAGGTTTCATATTGCCATTGGGTGGGGGGCTTCACCCTTTCAGACCTTTCCAGAAACAACAAAAAACAGAAACAAAAATCCCCAAACACCACGTCAAACTTAAGGAGCAATACTGTGAGCCTACGGGGCTCCAACCACTCTCTGAAGAGCAACGAGCATTCACCTCACCCCTTTCATCACTGGGGCTGCCCAGACTCTAGCGACACCCGGGGCTCCTGGATGTGCTTTGCTCTGCAGCTGTTTTCCAGTTCGTGAGTCCCACGCTGACTCCATACACTCACACACACTCCCCTTCCCCCCAGGAGAGCAGATGGGCAGATGGGTGCGCGCGCGCGCGCGCGCACACACACACACACACACACACACACACACACACACACACACACACACGAGAGACCTCCCAGAAACAGACCCTACCACTAGCACAGCAATTGGACATTTAGATTGTTTCCATAATTTCCCCTTAAAATATTACTCTTCCAGGAACTAACAGAAATGCTGTCCTTCTGTTTCTACACAAGAAAATGTTCAGTCCTCTTTCCTTCTAATAAATACCAAATAAAAGTTTATTTTCCTTTCTTTCGCCTTTTCCAGAATGGACTTCGTTGTGTTTTCTTCTGTGCATGGTGCACATGTGTCCATGTTGCCTTGAATTTCACTCTGACAGTGGAGGTCGGGGGACGCAGCTGGGCCGGGGCCTGGCCTGCGGTGCACGCACACAGACGCCGCTGCTTCCTTCCTCCTTGGACTGTCTTTTGGGCCCCAACTGCTGGACCCCATGCTGTTGCTTCTCGGCGAGATGTCATACACATCAGGAACAGAAACAATTACTAGCTTACAGCACAGGGCAGAAAAGGGATGGAGGTAGGGACAGGAGGAGGTGGGTGGTAAGCAGGATGGGGGTCACAAAAACCAATCGAACAAAAAATAACCACACTGAAAGCTTCTACCTATTAAAATGTGTCAGGCCACGAATGGACCAGCCTGCCTTCCGTGAGACTGCTCGCTACGCTACGGTAAAATGTACAGGAATCAAAAACATTAATTTAAAATCTTCCAGCAGTCATCTGCCAGTCCAGCCCAGCACCACCACCCATACTGCATCCTCGATCGGGGCTCGAGCACCTACAGAGTGAAGGGCATTTCCTGCCGGAGTCTCCAGGCCAGAGGAGGGCCGCCAGAACCTTCTGAGTGAAAGTTGAGGCCTTGGACTCTCCCTCGTGGAGCACTGCCACTGGCCGAAGAGGTCCGTTTCCCTCATCCTGTCACCACCAACCTCTCGCAGGAGCAGCGAGCGGGGCTTTTCCTTGCTACACACTGACTAGAAGAAGCACGTTGTGTATGGAAGAATTCAGTGTGACATTATACTACCGAGAGTAATAACAATAATAAAAGATGTTCAGGAATAATCTCAACTACATTCTCAGTCAGCAAAGCAATCATTAATGGATTCCTATTTTATTCCCCAGAGAGGAAAACAGGACCGAGAAGTTCCCGCCGGCTTCTCCCACCTGCCTCCCCTTCTCAGCTTTCACTTCCCTTGTGGCTGGGGGCATGCACGACGGGGAAGGTGAGAGGCGGTGACATCAGGTAACTGAGTGAAGACAAACAGCAGTTCCTCTCTCCCTCCGGAAGGCCCTGGGGGGACAGAGAGTTCCTGATGGTTTTTTCTTTTTGTTGCACTGCGGACATTTCGTGCACACTCAGCGCGCTGGTGGAACGCTTACACCCTCTCGACAGCAAGAGACAGAAGAGAGGGCTGCCACCTGCAGGGGACTGTACGGGCCAGTCCTGCAAACCCAACATGCCATGGTTTATGGAGCCTTCGTTCCCAGGGTTGCCACTCTGGCCTCAGTGTGGAGGGTTCATGGCGCCTTGTCCCCGCTGCTGTTTCTGTTTCTGCTGCATTAACAGCTGCTCCAGAGCGGAAGGTCCAGGATGCATCATGGAACTGGACCAGATAGACTGAAAAACAGCCCAGAGCTTGTCAGCAGAGGTCAAATGCCTGGATATCTGAAAGGGATTTGTTTTTCAATCCTCGCCAAATATAAAGGCATGTAAGTCCCAAGATCCCCGCCCCCTAAAAAGATCCAGCCATTAGAAGAAGTTGTTCTAAGACTGTCTTTAAGACCAGTCAGTTCCTGTTATTTTTATAACCAGATGATTTTAAACCAGAAAAGGTGAAAGTAGTTTTCACTAAAACTCAGTGCCACGTGAGACCACAGAATATTTACTATAAAGATTTTAGGCAAACAAAACATTTCCAAAATTAGACACTCTTCTTTTACTTGTTCACAAAAGGCTTCAATCAAACATTCCAAAATGAATCACAATTTTGACCTTAGAATGCAACTAAAACCTTTGTTTCTGTCCCCGCCCCTGTCCCCAGGATAACTGCTTTATCAGCAGAGAATTCACAAATTAAAAACAACTTCCTATTCAAGAATCTTCTAAGGCAGATCATGTTTCTAGGACTTAGCTAGATATGTGCTATAGATCAATCAGTTCTAAGGGCCTTAGGAATGAGCCTAGCTATTTACGTGAACAAAAGCAGAAACAGCTCTCGTGGCTCTTGTTTTCCTAAAACTCACTCACCTTTAGGCTTTCCATGAGGACAGCAGAGGAATCCTCCATGGAGGGGCCGTGGCCTGTCCAGGTGCCACTTGGAGTGCTGGCCTGATGCCAACTGCTCTCAGAGGCTGATGTTGCTGAGAGATAATCAATGCCGAACCCACCCATGGCTGAGAGATGCAAAGAGATAAGAATTCAAGATGTTCTATCATTGCCAAACACCAAACACCAGAGAAGGGCAGAGGAAGTGACTTCACTTTCACTAGGCAAGAAGTCTGGACCTCACCTGGCTTATCAGTTTTCCACCGATCTGCAGTTCTCCTATCCCTGTTATCTGGAGTCCCAATAGGTCCAAAGTTGGAGAATGGAACAGAATTATGGTTATGTGTTGGAGGGGAGCTCGGCAGGCTGCTTGGGTTAGAGGAATGGGGAGACTGGCTGGCTGGTGTTGAATGATCTAGTAAATACCAACAATAAAACAACATAAGACATTAAATAGATGTTCCACAAACATACCAAGAACTTGAGTTTTCTGTAGATCTGATCACTTAAATTCTACTAAAAATAACCACAGGGCTTTGGGACAAAGGTAAAAATAAGGGCCCCCAAAGGGACTCTGCCAGATGCACTAATCCGTCTTAAGGCATACTCCTTGCTTTAGAAAAACAAAAAAAGCAAAACCAAGCAGACAATTTTGTGCATGCACTATTTTGGCATGTCTGTTTCAGATAAATTATCTACTGGTATTCTCTAATTGCCTAACCTTAAGAATTACTATTAAATCAAACTCCAAGTATAAACTTGGGATTAAAAAACCCCTCTATTTTAAAAAGTTCAACTTTTCCTACAAAGAATGAGTATCTACAAACCAAACTAAAAAACAGCTGGAAACCTTAAGCTAAAACCCATATTTTTCTCCCTTACAACTCTGCTCGTTATGGATGTAAGAAAAAGCTTTTTTTAGTGGCATTTATTTCATGAACTGGCTCATCAGGCTTTTTTCCTATTTTCGTTCAGAAATTACTTAAAAAACAGAACAGCTAATATATTTATAATGTAAAATCATACTGATTCACCATCAGTTTGAGGGTATTAGAAATGCAAGGTCTGTAATTTAAAGACTAGCCAATACCTGAACTGGCAGGAAGTGATGGAGACCACGGGGTCCCTTCAAAGAGGGAGTACAGTGATGTCTCCTGGGGAGCCAGCGAAGGATTAAGTTCTGTTTTGGAGCTGGTTGTCAGGTTTTTCCCATATACCTCATTGAACATACTGTTATTTGGGTATCTTTCCTGAAAGACAATGACAACCAAATTATAAACTCACTGCAAGGAAAGAGATTTCAGCAAATGCAATGTTCATGTTCATGAATGACTGATACACTTTAAGCTTTTCTTTTTTTAAAAAGTTTACTTGTTTATTTTGAGAGAGGGAGAAAGTGTGCATGTGCACCTGTGTGCGCGTGTGCATGCACACACACAAGTGGGGGAGGGGCAGAGAGAGAGGGAAGGAGAACCCCAAGCAGGCTCCGTGCTGTCGGCCTGCAGCCTGAAGTGGGATTCAAACTCAGGTACCATGAGATCATGACCTGAGCCACAATCGAGTCAGACGCTTAACTGACTGAGCCACCCAGGTGCCCCACTTTAAGCTTTTCTTAGTAAAACAAACTTTTGAAGACTTTTGTTTCTTTTGGTTTCCCTGTTAAATTCATTTTCCCCCACCCTTTATTTTCTCTGTCTATGTAAACAACCCAGATTAAAAAGTACAAGTAATTCACTTGGCTGAACAACAGAGCCCTAAGGATTTCCATATTAATGAGAAGTTAAAGGGTTCAAATTTATAACAAACAAGTATCTCATATACCCAAATCAGAGAGAGAGACAGAGGATAAAAAATCTGGAAGGCAGCAATATATGGGAGAGAAAGCAAGAGAAAAATAGGGGTACTGAAATAGAACGGGAAAGGAAGTTCCAGCCTACAATAAAAGCACAATGCAGGATTCTTCACTGTTGACCCACCTGATTGAGAGAGAATCCAGTGAGGGACAAGAAAGAGGATGAGTGTGACATGAGCTCCGAGGGCTTCTCCAACAAGGATTTCTTCACAGTGCCAGAAAGAAAAAAAGTAGTTACATTATGGCCTCCATTTTCTTAGCATCAATCTTAAGTCCCTACACAACCAGAGTAGAGGACCACCAGTTAAGCATACCTGTACTTACCTGTCATGTACAGTGTCGGGCTCAGAAGATGTGAATTACATATTCCTACCATGACACCAGCTACATGCCAGTTGCCACAGGTGAGTCAGAACCCTCCCGGATCAATACCTCTAATCTAGCACAGAGATCCTGGCAGGGACCAGGGACGCTGGAAAATGGCAGTTCTGAGTGTTTACTAGCAGGAACTTTCCCAAATCCCCTTAAGAGGTGCATTTAAAATACTCTCAAAACAAGACACTGAACTGATCTGGCAGTCTTTTTCCCCCAATTTTTAAAACACTCACATTAATGACTTAAAGGCTTTCAAATCTATTTGACAACTGGTTTTGTCAGCATGGTTCCTAAACAGCTATTTGTGGTATATGTTAAAATAGTTGCTGAAGTTGAGCTTACAGGTACTGGCTCTAAGAAAACTACCAGGAGAAAAAAAAAGCTGAATCTCTGATGCTCACTGTCTTTGAACGGTAGGTCAGCAAAGCATTTATTAAATGTCTGCCACATGCAAGGCACTGTCACACACATTGTATCATTAACAACGTTAAATATAGAAAGTATTGTATGTATGTTTTGTAAACATGGGGAAAACAACCCTAAAACACTACCCTCCATGTCCACTTGCACCACCACCAGTTTCGTTGTGAATGGAGCGGGGGGGGGGGGGGG